TGCACAGGTACAAGCTGACTGCTCTGGGCAATAGCAGTACTACTGCTCCTATGATAATAAAAATGCCAGAGTAGGAGACTCTCCCTTCTCACTTGGCTTGCCTGGCCAGCCAGGTTGGGATCACTGCTCTGTGAAACTGGTGAGCACTCCAGACCACTTCAGTGCAAAGTCAGACAGATTACATTGAATCATCACTAAAGAACAAAAAAAAAAAGTGTCTCCTAACAGTAAGTAATGTCTGTCTTTTTCTATATTGCTTTTTATTTACAGAGCTTCAGTCAGGGCTGAGCTATTCTGTATGCTATTCATTAGCTGATCACATGCCACTGCTAATTTTTTTCAAATGGATTCACTATTTATAAATGTTCACCAGTTTGTGCCGACACATGAGGGGAGGGAGGGACAGTTTTACACCATCTACTTTTTGCAGATGCTTTGCAGTTCTCCTTTGGAGGGACTGACCTCTCTTGTTTACCAAAGATGCAACTTTGGCTCTTAAAGCTATTTGTATGGTACTCATGTCTGCACTACGCCTAAACTAGACAGTTTAATACTCACAACCCTCTTCTCCTCACACTACAACCATCTAAGGAGCCCATTCACCTTTGTCTGCTCGATGGGCCAAGTTGGTTGCATGCCATTGTTACTACTCCTCAAGCATGGAGGGGTTTTTTACATAAAGAATGCACTTTTGGAATAGAATAGAATATTTGCAGTTGGAAGGGACCTACAGTGATCATCTAGTCTGACTGCTTGACCATTTTTCAGGGCTGACCAAAAGTTACAGCAAGTTGTTAAGGGCGTTGTCCAAATGCCTATTAAACACCGACAGGCCTGGGACACTGATCTCCTCTCCAGGAAGCCTAAATATAGATTTTAGGGTGAATAAATGTCATACTAAAAACTGCAGCGTTTTTAGGCTGCATGAATATAAAATGGGATCCTTGGTGGCTGTCTAAGTAACAAATAAAACACATCTCCCTTCTGTATTTCACAGAGCAAGTCATCTGACTTTGGTACTATTAAACCAACTCTGCTAGTAGTCGAATTGAATTTTTTTGTTGGTCCAACCTCAGCCCTGAATAAACATGTGTAACCTCACATAGTTAGATACAATACAAGTCACCCTGGCTGAGAGACCTTTGCTCACGGAAAATCAGCATTTGATGTTCAAAAGACGGAATGGAACCAGCATGTCAAAGCATCTACTCACTATCCAAACAGTCCCTATTGTTACAGTTATTGCCAGTAATATCCTGTTTGTCACTGGGATAGCACTTTGGTTCGCCTGCCCTAGAAACAGCCATTTGCCTCGTGGGTAAACACATCCAGTGTGGCACTGGGAAATTCACCAAAGTAAGGAAACCTACTCAGGGCTCTGGCCTCTAGCAAAACCTCCTCAAACTGCCTTGAGAAATAACCAGACTCATGAACTTCAATACATCCAGTGAAAGAAACCATATTTACATCCAAGTAACAAATTTACCCTCCCCATCTCTCCGGCACTGCTCTGATCCTACTCTACATCCATCACACCCCAACCCTGGCAACAGGCCCTGAAGAAATTTGTTTTTGTGGACTGTGGGTGAAATCTGTGGCAGAATATTACTAGTGTGGAGCTAATAACTGGTTTGGAATTTTGTACAGTGCAGCTGCATCTGTGGTGAAACACCAACATCCTTTCGACCCAGGCATTGCTGTATCTGAGTTGTAAATGCTGTGTGAGTTACCTACAGGAATATCTGTTCCTTCCCTAAGTGAAATTCTGCTACTGTCTTTGATTTTCTTAGAGGTAGGCTGGGCCCAAATTTTATACAGTGGTTTCAAGCCCTTTCATGTGAAAGGCACTGAATAAACTCTGTACAGATCTAACACCGCTGGGGCTCAGCCCTTTGAAACACTGGTTTCTTCCTCTGGGCCACTCTTGTCGGTACGTCCACTTGCTTCACCTGCTCCACGAACACCTGTCCACGGAAAGAGCTAAAAAGACGCAATGCAGCAGGGCAAGTACATGTAGCTGGTGCTTTGGGGCCATGAACAGTTAATGCCTTGGCCACGGCAGTGGTGCAGCTGGAGCCTTTCCCAATGCTGGGCTGGATAGCATCACTGCCTCCTCCGAGTCGCTGCAGTCGTGGCAGTGAGAAACTGCTCTGAGATCACCACTGGAATCCTTGATTTTTAATGTTTCATCTCCCCCCCCCCCCCCCCCCCCCCCCCCCCCCCCGCTACATTTTCCATTAGAAAGAAGTAAATTGGTAAAATGCCCTGGGACTCACAATCAGGTTGTGACCTGGTGAGGCAAGAGGAAGCACTTGCTGACACACCACTGCTGGTAATAACTCCTGGGTTGAAAACCTTCAATGGGAAGTGCAGCTTTGAAAATATCTGCAGTGATTAATTGCTTTTGAAAATTTCCAGCACAGAAGGACTGAATCTAATGGTTTCAGCTTCTTTGGGAAAGCTGAAAGAGCTGGTTTCAGCAGGGACAAGGCCAGGGGTAAACAAACCAGTTCCCTGGGGTAAATTCGAAAGTGATTTTCCAGAGTCTCCAACAGCCTGCAGGATCTGCCCATGTATGAAGCTCCCCACTGCACTGTGGTGCCTGTGGTGTCCCCATGTCCATGGTACTGCCATGTCACTTCTCTCCACCATGGGCTTTCATGCAGATAGATGTGGAAGAGGCTGTTCCAATGGAATATCTTAAAGGCTGTAAGCCCAGGGATAAGGTTGCCCAAAGTGAGTTCTCAGTCAATATCCACTGTACTTTAAAGAGGTTATTTTATATTTTATGCCATGCAATATTTTTATGAGTGGGACTTTTTCCAGCACTCTGCTCTGGAAGTAATTTCTACTGCTCAATTCTACATGCAGTTTTGTAGTGAAATTGGTTTAATAAATGGTGGGATTCCTCAAAAAAATGAAATTCCTTTTTTGATGAATGCTAGTTTTGACCACTGCCTCTGGACAGGGTTTGTCTCAGAATAGCAAGTTAATATGCAGAGCTATTTTTTCCCTTATCTTCCTGAATTTTCCCATTGAAAATATCCTTAGTTTATATTTATGTGCTATAATAGTTAAGAAGGCAGATAAGAAGAGCTGGAGATATTTTCCAGGGTAAATCTTCAAATCCTGAAAATGAAGCTTCATTTAAAAGTGTTTGCATACTGCTCTTACCTGGCACCCGAAGGAAACCAGGACTATGCTCCTTCATATTTCCATCCTTCTCTCAGCAACTTTTGAGCCCACTGGCAATCTCTACCACTTCTGACAGAGGAAAGGAAACCAAAGCAAGTCCCTGCGAGTCACCTATAGCTGGGTAGGGAAGAGAAACTCGGAGTGGTGCCCTCACCAAGTGCCAGCCTGCCTGGCTGGCATCAGTGCCCGTGTGTGTGCACAGCCCCCATGCACGCATGTGTGTCCCCACACTCACTCCAAACCCACCCAGACTGATGCTTAGGTGATCTGGCACCAGCTAGTGTATGGCTTTTTCCATATGCAGAGGTGTTTGCAGGGCATGAAAGAGACTGGGAGAAGAGCAGTGGGCGCTGGGACCAGCATATTGTAAGGGATGAGCAGATCTGAAGTTATCAGGGTGCTGTTGCAATACAGGGCAGCCAGGCTCCCTTAGGGATTTTGGCTCGTGGAAGTACACATTTACAACATGCAATATTCTGTCTTACATCTTGCCTTCGTGAAGGTTTTCTTCCTAAAGCGATTGCTCAATCTATCTGGTGGGAAGGGCAGAGAAAAGAGAGAGCTGCCTGCATTAGAAGTGACGCTGCCCACTCTTGTGGAGGAAAAGGTCTTCACATTTCCATGGATCAGATCCTGCAATTACACAGCTTTCTTGTTTGGCCAGTTCATCTGCTAAACCTGACATGAAGCCAGAATGCAAACAGAGATTTTCCCATTACAGAATACCAAATCTATGATAAGCCACGCCATGAAAATTCAGTTTTTAAGGAGGTGGGGAGAGAATAAGGGAAACTCCAACTGCTGCTGCAAGATAAGCAATGAGTTTTGCAGTGCTTCTAAAATCTGTTTGTCAGGGTTCTCATAAACAACAACCGTAAGCCAAAGAACACTGTGAGAAGAAAAACAGTAGAATTTGGGATAGTAAAATTTAAGCAGATGTTTGAGCACCAGTTTTAGTCTATAAACCATCTGTGTGATAACTTTGGACACAGCTGGATAAAGTAAGTAATTGCTACAGAAAGGTTGTGAATATTATACTTAATCTGTGGCTCTTTTTTGCACAGCAATGCAGTGAATATCATCAATGATCTTGATTACATTTGTATTTTTTTCTTACACTACAAATTATCTTACTATAAAGTATCCAAGCCAATCACCACTTCTGCTTTCCCTATCACCAAGTTATACTATTAAAATCTATTTATAGATGGAGTAACAAATGCCTCTGAAAGGAGAGTTATATTCTGACAGCACCGAAAGATACTATGCTGGTTTTCTCAAAGATTATGCTTTAAATAGGATATATTCTCAAAGATTACTCCTTAAATGGGATATAATTATTGCAATTTATTCATCATTTGCCATGAGGCACAAGATCATGACAGTATATATTTTTAAGTGTGTGTATGTATATATATATATACATATGGTCTTCATACGTGCAGACTGTGAAGCTCAGAACTTCAAAAACTAACCAAGAACACAGTCGATAGAGGCTGAATTACATTTGTTGTCCCCAAAATCTGGTGGATGTAATGACACCCCTAACATTGCTTAGTTGCCAAAACCAAAATAAAAATCAGAAGTAAACAAATAAGTTATCTGAATAAATCCTGCATTGCCCCAATTGTATGTGCTGCCATCTAAGCTACCTGGCTACCATCCAGGCCTGAATGACATTCCTGGGCAAGAAGTAACCCATGCATCCCTTTTGAACTGTCCTCTCCTCTCCTCGAGCTTCCTTTACCTCCCACTTGGCTGTCCCGCAGCCCTCAATCAAATTTCTTTTTAAAGCACTTTCTTACCTGCATAGTGGTCAAACACAGTGGGGACATACTCCTCTGGGAAGGCATCATTGGCATAACTCATCAGCAAGCAGGTTTTCCCAACTGCACCATCCCCAACCACCACGCATTTTAACATCTTCTTGGTGTTATTCCTGCTCCCATCAGTGCAGTTGTCATTTTCTTCCTTGCAGTTCATTCTTGCTGTTGCTGCTGCTGCTGCTGCTGCCGCTGCTCTTGCTGCTCCCAGGACTTCCAAGTGCACATGAAGGAAAAATGAAGTGCGATTGTATTGACTTTTCCTGAGTTTGGAGTTGGGGGGGGTGGGGGGGGGAACGAGCAGCAAATCTCAAACTCAGGAAATCATACTAATGTTTCCAGGCTGTCACAGCCGCTTCTAACAATTACCAGATCAGTCAAGAGAATCATCGAGGTAAATAAATTAAATATGTAGAGAGAAATACCATAAAAAAGTGATCTGTCCTGTTTCGTTTGTCCCAGTCAGGAAATCCTCATCCTGCCCGGCAGTTCTCAGTATTTACTGCGACTTCAAAAATATCAGCAGCCTGCGGCTCTGATTCGCGTCTCCCTTTCTCCAGCTTGGACGCAGGAATCAGGAGCTCCTGTTAAATCCACTCCATTTTCCATTTCACTTCTAACATGGAGGAGAGCCTGGAGGTTTTTAATGGAGTTTTTCCTTTCTTTCTCCAGCTTGCTGTGTGTCAGGAAATCATGGGTTTCCTGCTGAATTCCATATTAGGATCAGTGGGCTTGTGAAGGGCTGCAAACAATGGGAGCTCTGTGTGTATTTGTACTTTGGAGGAACTCTGCCAGGACATGGAGAAAGGAAAACACTAGAGGTCCCTCTGCAGAATGAAGTTTTCAGGCTTTCTGCTCCATCCCGCGTCCCAGCTGCTCTCCGGGCTGCCGGCACCGAGAGAGGCAAGGAGGATTTGGGAGAGGCTGAGGGAGAGGCGACTGTCGAACATGCACGGCCCAGCGGGGTACGGGGAGGCTGCGAGTTCTGTCCCTGTGTCAGGGCTGCCAGTTGATCCTGGGCACGACCTCCTCTGGTCTCAAATAGGTATTGTCTTTCATTTGGGAGGGGAAAGGGGAGAGTTGGAAAAGCAGATAGGAGGTGTGGTGGGCAGATAGAGTTTAATGTCAACTTTCTGTGTCTATAGCTCTTTGAAGTACTTTATTATATGGAATAAATGACTGATTTTTCAATTCATGCACTCGTAAAGTTTCTCTTGCACTTCCCCTTATCCACCTCCAAAAAAAGAAAAAAAAAATATTTTCCCTTGCCCAGCGTAAATATGTAAACATAGACAGAGAGAATAAAGTGGAATTAAGAATTAGAGGAATTAAAAAAAGAAAAACACAGCATAGAAGTCTGTGAAAAACTCCCTTTGAACTGTATGATTCCTGCCCTCTCCTCTGTTTTGTACTGGTGTTTTACATGCCTTCTAAGCCTTCTCTCTATTTAAATATACATCAGTCTACATGTGCATGAAGGACCAAGCTTCCTGGTACTTCCACAGGAAAGATTCTGCAATTTCCAGCAGAAATGAGCCAGACATTAATATAAACCCCAGTGCAACAGCCCAGCTCATCCTGCTGGCTACATTTCCCTTCCACAAGGCTCGAAGGCTTTGAAAGGGGGAAACACCCCCCTGCCGGGACTCCACGGGGAAGCACACCGTGCTAAATGCTTCCCCTGCCTTGCTCATGCCTGGTGAGAAATAAATGCCCAGAAGTACACACAGGCTTGGAGTAACACACACCTGGAAGTTCAAAGACCAACACAACCCTGAAAAGGAACTCATTTAGCTCCAAACTCCATGAGTGAAAACAAACACAACCTTAATAATGAAACCTCTTACCCCCAAACTGCGTGTCCTTCAATTTTAGGGGTGAAGGGCCACAGCAGAGCCAGCTGCAGTCTCCCCTGGACAGGGTAAGTCTGTCAGAGCTCTTCAATGATCTGTCTGTGCTGGACCAGCTCTGAACAGCTTCCCCAATAGGTGGTAAAATCATGGAATCCTATAATAGTTTGGGTTAGAAGGTAGCTTAGAGATCTTAGTAGACAGTGTTAGGCCCAGCATCACATCTGCTGTCCCAGGGCATCCCTAAACTTAGGAGATCAGGTGCATCCTCTTATCTTCAAAACTGCAGCCCAAGGCTGAGGTTTATCCAAAAAAACTCTGTGAGTTCTGGGCATCCAACTCCCCATTCTCCAACTATTTACTCTGCTGATCATTTCCACCATCAGCAGCATGGCTGGGTCATCCTGAGGTGCATCACATGTTAAAGGGATTTATTCTTTAAGCTTCTTTCTAGTTGCAATTGAGGTCAAACTCCAAGCCTGTGCCTGTGTTCAGCAGTTGTGTAGCTCAATAGGTACCAGCACACTGATACCCTCTGTGCCTTTGCTTAGCAGCCTGGTGACCTTGTTGGGAAAGTGTGCCAAATATGTAGGTGCATGCTGTTGCAAGGTAACTGCAGAGCCTGAGGAACCTAAACATTCCAATAATTCATGGTTCAGCTCCCCATTGCCTCTATTAGACAAAAGCAAAAGCTGTCTTGTTTCCCATTTTACACAGGTATAATCTATCTGCAAGCTTTTTCAATGTCAGACATACTCCAATTAAGGCAAGATTTAATGCTATTTGGGCCAAATTCAGGCCTGCAACAAAATCCCCATGTCTCATTTCTCCCTGATCATAAAGCTGGGCAAGTCTCAGCAGGATTGTGCACCTCCATTTGCAAGAGGTTAAATGATGAAATTCCCTTGATGAAATTTCTACTTTCTTTCTTTTTTTTTTTTTTCCTTTTTTTATTAAAGGGTCTTTCAAAATTGCTTAAAGGGGTTTGCTTTTCTAATACTCATGCTATCAGGAGGCTGATCCCAGAATCATTTAGGTTAGAAAAAGCCTCCAAGATCATCGAGTCCAACCCTTGATGGATTACCACCATCCCAACTAAATCTAGCACTAAATGCCACGTCCAGTCACTTCTTCAACAGTTTCAGGGATGGTTACTCCACCACCTTCCTGAGGTGAGCTCAATGCTTGACCATCCTTTCAGTGAAGAAGTTCTTCCTGAGTTTCTCAGGTCTTTGCAGACCCTTCCAGTTCTAAGCTCTGATGCATGAGACACTTTGTGAGGAACCAGTTTTAATTAAGATGCATCAATAAAAGACCTTATAGGCCTCACCTTGAATAATGGAAGAGCAGCCACACTGTTAGAGCCTATCTACTGCTGACCTGGAACAGACCAACAGAAGAGTTTATCTTGAATGTGAGGAAGGCTGACACGTTGCCTGAGTAACTCAAACTCAAGGCTATATTTTTGCTTTAACTATATAGGTGATACATGCAGCTTTAGAGGAGTTACGATGAAGTTATAAAATAATACCTATACTGAAAATATATATTTTCTTTAATCTCATTAACTTAGTTTGGCGCCATCAGCTGGAACAAAACATTTTAAGAGCTGGTTTAGTTGAAGCAAAGTATAATCGCATAATTTTACACTTTTTTTCCCCCAAGGGACTGAGACAACCCCTCTGCTATTCTAGGGTTGTATCTTGTACTTATCCAGTTGGCACTGACTTTGCTAAGTGAATTAACAAGCAAATTTGTTTTCTAGCAGTCTAGCAAAGTTTGAGGCAATTCTGTTACATTTTACAGAAGATCTGTTAATTTGCAAAGAGTAAGTGGCAATTCTATAGGTTAAGCTGACTCTTCTGCACTACTGGGTGAGTTTCAGCTCCCCTAAGACCACTTCTGCACAACAGAGCTACCTACAAGCCCCAAAGGAGAAGTCCCAGGGGTATTGGTAATGATTAGCAAAGGTCAGGAAGTCTAGTGATTTAGTCTGGATCCATGGCTTATTTTGCTCTGTCACTCATTAGGTTAGAATTGGTCAGATTTTTTCACAAGATCTCAGTCATTACCGTCTCACAAATCCAATAAGAGCAGGCTGGTTATGAGCCACAATTTGTGAAGACATGGCTGAAGTAAAAAAAAAGCGAAACCAACAGGTCTATATGCTTGGAGAGCTTGTTTAAATGTGTGTGGTTCTTTGGCATCCAAGCCTGTTTGTTTCCCACTTGTTTTACAAGCTTCTAGCCAAGAGCACTGTGGCACAGATATGGGCAGGTGCTTAGCAGCGTGGAGTGAAGATGTAACCTCAGGCTTTCTAGCAAAGTTTCTCACAAAAAGAGCTCTGCTCTGGAGGAAGTGCCTCTGACCTTTTGTTAATTAACAAATTAACTGGCAGCAGATCTCTTCTAAAACTGCAGAGTGTCTCCAGCTCCCACAAGCTGAGTGGATGCATCAGCTTCATCTTCATCAGCTGAGGTCAGACAAGGTGGTGCCTGGAACTGTTTCCTTGAGGATTAGCAAGGCTGGTGCAAGAAATTTTGGTGAGAAGATTTGTAGGAGATGAAGGACTCACAAATTTAATTAGCTTAGCACTTAGCAATATCTTGGCCAATTAACTCTATTCTATATTTCTCTGCAGGCTTGCAGGAGGAAAAAAGGGTCATGATGCTCTACCGTGCTCTCCCTGCTCTCTTTCCCCGACCAACCTGCCAGTCATGTTTCTCCAGTGCCTCCTACAACACAGTGGTCTTCCTTGTGCAATCTTATGAATTTAAAACTTGACAGTCAGAATTTTCTCCACTGACTGGTTTCCTCACCAGACCTGACTGATTTTTAAGGGGGTCTTAGTCTTCCTGAGGTCTTGTCCTCCTAAAGCCTCTCCTGCATGCCCTCCTGCCCTAAACCAAGCAGATCTGTCTCTGCATTCTCATCCATAAGTAGCAGCTCCACAAGGTGGTGGATTTTGAAGGTGACAGCACTACTGAGAAGCTTTTCTCTCCATGTCTTGCTGTTAGAAATAGACACATTCAGCCACTCTCCTTCCACCTACCAGTGTTGATGAGGGAATGAAGTTTCTGGCACTACTACCGAACTGCAAATTGATTTCAGGCAAGTCTTCTCACATTTTCCTTATCCTTTGTCTAATCTGTTTAGATTTTGAGGTTTTTAGGGCAGGGATTGCACCGGTATTGGACTGAACATAGCAGAACCATATTAAGCTTAACTATCGCTGTGCTGTTTAAAGCCAGGTTTCCCCTGCCGCCAGATTCAGGACTATGTTGTGGTAAAAGCCAGCCTTTTGCAGTTAAAAAAAATTTGGGACTGTCACCACAGTCACCATATTCTCAGGGGAGAATCCCTAGTCCTAGATAGATCTGACTTAGCATGGGTCCTCTTTTTCTGGGATTGCCTATATGGCCCTCCACATTGTGCTAAGAATAATTGAAATGAGGGCATTTAATGCTTATTGCCTCCATCCTCTCTTCCCCTTCCTTGCTGGCAGCCCCATTCATCAGCCTCCCACCCCAGAAGCTCTCATTGGTTCCTGAAGTGAGTTTGATACATTGAAAAGCAGAAGCAGCAAATTAAGGAGAAAAAAATACTAATTTATCTGTGACCGGAGGAGGGGTGGAAGTGCCCTGTGTGAAGCCTTTTTAGAGGCAGCTTGCTGAAGGGCAGGTGCTGAGGGTCAGCTTTGAGGCTCACTGAGTGAGAGCAAGCCTCTCTACAGCCATCACACACCATCAGTCAGCTGCCACCATCACCACCACCATGGTGGTCCATGTCAGCAGAGGGGGGGGTCCCTTCTTCAAGCTTCTGCCATGGATATAATTAGTATCTTTGTGTTTCCCTTCGGAAAGAAGAGCTAATAAAA